AGGAGGAGGAGGAGGAGGAGGAGGAGGAGGAGGAGGAGAAGAAGAAGAAGAAGAAGAAATGAAAACACCCACCAATCACTCAACCCCTCCCTCCCAGTTTGAAAATAAATCCTTCCCAAAACCAAAGCGTATAATTTAGCTCAGTGGCATTCTTACATTGAATGAGTTGAGAGAAGTAAGCGCGAGAGACTTCTTCACAAAGAAGAAACCGTTGTCCTCGTCAACGGCAAAGAACTCTCGAGTGAAGTCGTCATCAATCAGAGAGAAGCTGAGGGCATTGTTGGGTGACTGTGGACACAGAGCAGAAATGGATGACCTGTAAGTGGGTTAACTCTTTAAATATACATTTGACACAGCAGAAATACTTGACGTAAATGGGTTAACTCTTTCAGGATACGGTAGACACACAGCAGAAATACATGACCTGCAAGTGGGTTAACTCTTTAACTCTTTATCTCCGAGGGGGGTAACCCCACTATACCGGGGCCATTTTTTGGTACTATATCTAAAAATAATGAAAACATCAATAAATTGGTCATTAAAGGTAAAAAGTGAAACTATTTTGATGGTTCTTCATCTAAGGAATGAAATTCCGATAAAAGAGACCTGTTTCGCAAATTGTCAAAAAGAACTTTGATGCAGAAGTCGTGGTAAAGAAATCTAAATCTGACATATTGTGCGACCAAGACAACTTGTAGAAAACAAAACATGTGTCTAGAAGAAAGAATCCTACCGTAACGTCCGGGTCCCTGGCGTTGATCTGACTGAAGCTAACTCCAAGACTCTGAGTCTCAAAGATGGTGAACGTGTAGTTCTGCTGAAGGAATTCTGGATCCTGCAGGTTACGTGCCACAAATAGATTCACAACAGCTGTAGCTGTCAAGGAGGGCGTCCCACCGTCCTTTGCCAAAACACGCACCTGTGGAGACGAAAATTCTCACTGACATTTTCTGACTACATGACATCAATGACATAATTTTACAGTTCTATCCTTTCCAGTTTGGTCTATTATTTTTCAGATTTTGGTCAAAAACATACACAAAAATGCCAGCATCTAATGACAAAAACCTTACTGAATCTGAAGAAGATACGCAGGAGAACCAAAGTTTGAAGTTACAGTCTAAAGGGAGGGAAATTACTATACTAAAGATCATATTGACAATGATGATGATGATGATGATGATGATGATGATGATGATGATGATGATGATATTGACAATGATGATGATAATGATGATGATATTGATAATGATGATGATAATGATGATGATGATGATGATATTGACAATGATGATGATAATGATGATGATGATGATGATATTGACAATGATGATGATAATGATGAT